ATTTGTAGCAGTGGTGGATTAGTTCGTTGCATATAAACATTGCTCTCTGCAGCCTCACCCAGTAAAGAGCTCCAGATTTAGCAAACAAAAACACAAGACGCCAGTTAAATGTGAATTTCAGATAAATTATAAATGATATATTTGAATATAAGTATCTTCCATGCATGTTTAGACCATATTTATACTAACCATTAGCCATTCTTTATCTGAAATTCAAATTCAGCTCGGCATCCTGGGTTTCTCTGGCAATCCTGCCCTTAGTCTTTGTGGCAAGAAAGACATCTTACACAGTAATCATGAGAACGTTCCTGCGGTTGGCACCACAAGGCCAGGAAAAGAATGCCATGGCGCAATGAAAGGAGAGTTTGTTTTTATTCATTCATTTTTATTGGCATATAATTTACATATCATATAATTCAATCATTCCAGCAGATGGAGAAGAGTTGGACAATCGCCATCACAATCAACTTTAGAACATTTTCTTCTTGTACTTATTGCTGTTAGCCCCCTAACTTCCCGGCCATGTCCCTAGGTAATTATTAATCCAGTTACTGACTCTATAGACTTATCTATCCTGGACTTCATATGCAGAAGGAACATACAAAACAAAATCAAGACAAAGAAAAACAATGACAAAATAAAACAGAAAAACTTCCATCGAAAAGGAGCATTATAGCAGGCATGGTTCTGCCTTTGTAAATGAGTGTTATTGAAAGTTTTGCCTTTCAATAACAGTTCTCACTGTTTGTGTAAATAGTGTTGTGTTAGGCCATGTTGACTCGAGAAACAAATCCAGTGACACACATATATGTGTAAGAAAGACCTTTATATCAAGAAGTTATTATATATCAAGAAAACATCCCATCCCAGTCCCAATTTCAAGTTCAATTCTGGCCCATAAATCCCTCTTTAGACTCCTGCAGCCACATGCAACGATGCAGAATGCAGAACAAAGTTGTGTGGCTCTGAGGTGGTGGAAAACATTGTAGGACCCCAGCAGCTCTCAGGGTGGCCTGAAGCAGGAAGGTCAAGGCAGTGAGAAAGAGAGGCTATATATCTCGATCACACCTCCAAGGAAGGTCATCAAGGCTGCTACCTGATTGACAGGCTAAGCTCCACCATGTCTTCTTACAAGAGCCAGTTTGGCACAAAAGCAACCATCTAGCTCAGAAGCAACAAAGTCCACATGGAAGAAGCACACCAGCTTGTGTGACCACAAGGTATAGAAGGGACCAGGTATCAGGCATCAAAGAACAAAAAAATCATATCAGTGGGTGCCTACCTTCCCGATATGATCACTGAAAACAAATATGTGCGTAAGAAAATGTGGTGAAGAAAGCTGATGATGCCCAGCTATCAAAAGATATAGCATCTGGGGTCTTTAAGGCCTGAAGATCAACAAACGGCTATCTAACTCAGAAGCAACAAAGCCCACATGGAAGAAGCACACCAGCCTGTGTGACCACGAGGTGTCGAAAGGATCAGGTATCAAAGAACAAAAAAATCATATCAATGTAAATGAGGGTGAGCACAGAGTGGAGACCCAAAGCCCATCGTAGGCAACTGGACACCTCCTTACAGAAGGGTCACAGGGAGGCAATGAGCCAATCAGGGTGCAGTGTAGTAACGATGAACATACAACTTTCCTCTTGTTCTTAAATGCTTCCTACCCCCACTATCATGATCCCAATTCTACCTTATAAGTCTGGCTAGACCAGAGGATGTACATTGATACAGATAGGAAGTGGAAACACAGGGAATCCAGGACAGATGATCCTTTCAGGACCAGTGGTAAGAGTGGTGATACCTGGAGGGTGGAGGGAAGGTGGGGTAGAAAGGGGGAACCGATTACAAGGATCTACATATAACCTCCTCCCTAGGGGATAGACAACAGAAAGGTGGGTGAAGGGAGATGTCGGACATTGTAAGATATGACAAAATAATAATTTATAAATTATCAAGGGTTCATGAGGGAGGGGGAAGCAGGGAGGGAGGGGGAAAATGAGGAGCTGATATTAAGGGCTCAAGTAGAAAGAAAATGTTTTGAGAATGATGATGGCAACGAATGTATAAATGTGCTTGACCCAATGGATGGATGTATGGATTGTGATAAGAATTGTATGAGCCCCCAATAAAATGATTTTTAAAAAATCAGTAACATGAGAGGGAAAATTTTAACAAAAGATGAGCTCAATAAAAACTATCACAAGTGTTTAGTCTCTTAAGCTTTCAGATGTGTGCAACTCAATAATCCACATACTGTGATGACTTATTCATGTATAATTTCCTGTTCTCAACAGTTGTAAATCCCATACCACTGGCTAAACTACGGGAGAAAGATGGGACTTTCTAGACCCATAAAGAGTTACAGTCTCAGAAACTCACAGGGACAGTTCCACCCCGCCCTCTAGAGGTATTATGAACCAACATCAACTTGATGGCAGTTTGTTTTGTTGTTGTTGAAGTTGGCTAAACTGTTACTATCAATGGAGTTATCGTATGCTCCATGTGTATGATTTATAATGCTCTCCAATAAAGTGATAATGCTGTCTCTAAAATGAACCAGGGACACATATGAACCCTAGATATATGAATGAACTTTGGGATCACACTTAATCCTAGCCCCAATCTAAGAACACTTAGTTCTTATGATATGGTTCTATTCAATACTGGCCCTTGTGAGGAGATCATGAAAGATATGGGTGCTAGAGCAAAGCAGATGAAGAAATTAGATGCTGCTCAGCTACTAGAAAGAATAGTGTCTGGGGTTTTAAAGGCTTGTCTGAAAACAAGCAGCCATTTAAGTGAGAGGCATCACTTAAATCCACATGGAAGAAGCACACCAGCCTGTGTGATCTAAGGATTATAAATAATAAAATCTAAATCCAGAGGAGGAAGTGCTATCAGAACTTAAATTCTGATAATATCCAGTTTTCAGAAGGGTATGGGTGACAGTGGAAGCCCAAAATCCATTTGCAGGGCCTCTGACCATAATCCAGAGCTGTGAATAGCCTTGCTGTCAGACGGAAGAGCATTGTAAAGCTGATTATAGAAGACACAGGTCAAAATGCAACATCATTTGATCTCCCTTTTGACCCATGAAAGGATATATTTTTTAAGAAAACAGGTGGTGGAAATGTAACACGCTCTTCTATTGATAAACCCACTTAAGTTTAATAATGATGATGTCTCAGTTGCTAAGTGCTGCTGTAACAAACTCACCGCAAGTGGATAGATAGCTTTAAAGAACAGAAGTATGTCATCTGACTGGTTAGGAGGAGGCTAGAAATTCCAGTTCAACGTGGGACTGTAGGAAGAGCTCCTTCTTTGTCCATTTCAGCTTTGAGTAGCTTCCAGCAATCCTTGGCGTTCCTGCTGTGTGTATCTGCCTTCCTACCGCAGCTCCTCCATCCCCATGTATGTTTCTGGGTCTATCCTACTCTTTTTACTACTCAGAAGTGATTAGCTTTAGGACCCACCCTAGTCTGCTGTGACCTTATCAACATAACAAAAGAAAACCTCTATTTCCAAGTAGAGTGAGATTTATAACTATCGGGTTAGCAATTCAGCATAATTTCTTAAAAAACATTTTAAAATTATGAATTAAGTGTAAGTTTACAGCTCACTTCATCCACTTTACATTCAACAGCTCAAATCACTCATCAAACCTACCCTCCTCCTTTCCTCTTTGGGGACTGCTGTCTTCCTCTTCACCCAAGTTAATACCCATCAACTCTCTAGCCTATTGTCTCAGCTTCTCTTTGCCCTCCCCACCTTGGCAACCTCCAAAGTCCGTGCCTTTTGGTAAAAGAGTCTGTCTCTGTCTTGTTGTTGCTGTTTCTTCTTCTTCTTCATAAAAGAGGTCTCGTACAATATTTGTCCTTTTGTGATTCACCAATTTCATTGAGCACAATGTCCTCCTGGCCTTGAGGTGTCTCACAGTCACAACACGATTCTCTAATGATTCATAGTATTCCATTGTGTGTATGTACCAAAATCTCTTTATCCGTTATCGGCATTTGGGTTGTTTCCATCGTCTCGCTATTGTGAACAGTGGGTGCAATTAACAAGGGTGTGCCTATCAACATGATTTTCTGAGGGACACAAGTCCATCCATTCCATTTACTCCGCTCTTGCATGAACAGGCAGGGATAGGTACACTATCTTATCCTCCCACCAGTGTTACAGTGTTGACCAAACAACCGACTGCTTGGATTGGTTCTGACCCCCACCCCCCACCCCCACAGAGCAGCCCACAGCGTAGAGCTGCTCCGGGGGAGGTGGGGGTGTGCCCGGCTAGAGAAACAGGTCGCCAGCCTTACTTCCACATTGCCATTGGGTGGGTGAGTACCACCAGCCCCCATCTAGGCTAGCGGATGAAGTGACTACATCATTATAATCATTGAAACGTGAGTCTGTGGAGCAGCAGAGAGGTAAAAATCACTTACTCTTGGTCACACAGCCAGAAAGAACAGCAAAGCTAGAATTCAAAGACAGCTCTCTTTCCGCAAGGCAACCCTGCCTCCAACCACCCAAAGGGTTTTGCTGTGGTTTTCACAAAGTGGCAGAGGACAAAGTGTAACTCCCCAGCCCACCTTTTTCCTGGTCCTCCTCCATCCAGTCTAGCTCCCTGGGGAAGGTAAATAAGCAGGGAGTGTGCAGCTAATTGTCATGTAGCCCAGTGTGATCTCCATTTAAAAGAGGGACCCAGGAGAATTGGTTCCAAATGGTGGCATTCCAGTTTTCAAAGCCCTCCTTGGGGGTGGAAAGGACCGCTGGGCAGCTCTTACTAACAGGCCCCAAGGTGTCCCGCCCTCTGCCAAAGGGACCTTAGCAACGGGCAGAACATGGGTTATTGTGACCTTAGCAACGGGCAGAACATGGGTTATTGTGAGGACGGCATTGTGATGGTGGCTGTGCTGTGAGGTCTGGCAAGGTCAGATGTCAGTGCCTCAAAAGATGTCCCTTGGCCCCCCATTGGCAGCCCTGCGGTCTCCTGAATGACAACTGAGGACAGAGAGATGCTGGAAGCCCGGGGAGCCGGAGAAAGCTGCCCCACCTTCCCCAAGGTGGTGTCTGGTGACCCCATTGCTGAAGGGAAGTCCAAGGCTTCTTTGGTAAGAGAGAAGCCCAGTCTCCCTGCCCAGCCTGCTCATTCCGGGGCAGGAAGGCACCCTGAGGGATAGGCGCCCAATGTGATGCGATTCCAGATGGCTGCCAAGAGCAGTGGGTGGCCTGCACCTAAGCTTGTGGCTGACACCCTTCCAACTCTAGTCAGGGGGCAAGCAGCCCTTCACAAGACTGTGACTTCCCTTGACCCTGGCACCTGGTCTCTCTCACCCACCTCCCTGCTGGGGCCCTTCCCTCCCTCTTTGGAGGGGACCCTGGGTCTCCCCTCTCCCTTGGGCTGGTCTTCTCAACAGGCCCTGGGTTCCTCCCTCTTGGCCGCCTCAGAATCCTGTGTCACTCTGGTCTCAGCCTTAAGCAGAGAGCGGAGTGCAGGGGTCACTTCCGTGGTGACCTGAAAATCACCAGCAAGGGACTTCTCCCTCAACTTCCAAATGCGTCCACCATGTCTTTAAGGGGCTCTCACTCCTCAGGTCCTGACACCCCCCTGCGAGGGTCTTTCTAATGCCAGTGTTTACCTCGAGCATCCCAATGCTGACTCCTCCCTGCCCCCCCTCCCCCCAGCCCACTCCTACCCAGGAAGCAGCGTCCTCGAAGCCAGAATCCCCCACCAGTGACCCTGTGGAGGAGATGGACACTTGCGAAGACGGGGGTTGCCAAGGGGCAATGAAGGCACTGCCCCTCAAGACGGGCCCCACCACCAAGGGCCAGGCGGGTGACGGGCCCCCACTGGCCGAGCCAACCCTCGATCTGGGGAGCAGGCGCGACGTGGAGGTAGAGCTGGAGAAGGTGCGCATGGAGTTCGAGCTCACGCGGCTCAAGTACCTGCACGAGGAGAACCAGCGGCAGCGGCAGCACGAGGAGGTGATGGAGCAGCTGCAGCAGCAGGCAGCGCCACGCCTGGTGGGTGACCCCAGCCTCGTGAAGAAAGTCCCGGGAGGGGTGAGGCGGGGAGTGGGGTGGGGGGCAATAGGGGGTGCAAGGGGACGCGTTGCACAGGCACAGCGATAGACTGAGACGTGGGGCTGTCTAGGAGCCTCACCTGCTTAGATGCGGCATCCTGCTCTGCAGAAGCTGGAATCGACGGACATGGCTCCGTGTCCAGGGGTGCTGCCCCCGAACCCCTCTGCCCCGGGTCACTTCCAGAGATGGGCCACCCCCTGAAGAGACCTCTCCCGCGCACGTGCGTGTGTTGAGCTGGCCCTTCCACTCTCTCAAGGGAGTTTAGGTACCCTGGTGGCGTCGTGGGTTACGCATTGTGCTGCTAACTGCAAGGTCAGCAGTTCGGAAACTACCAGGCGCTCCGAGAGAGCAAGTTGAGGCTTTCTACAGCTGTAAAGAGTTACCAATCTCGGAAACTTATAGGGGCGGTTCTACTCCGCCCTACAAAGTCGAGTCAGAATTAAGAGAGTTGGCCCCAAGAGGGATCCCTGAGCTACCTGTCCACCTAATAGCCCTTTTACTAGCTTCAGAAAGGTCTCCAGATGGCTGCCATTGGGGTACATGTCCCCTGACTTTAACATCTTCTCTGTGACTGGATTTCCACCCCATCGCCCACCCCAGGACTCTCGGTGCACCTTAGAATGCAATGCCTGGGCACTTAAGTCAGAATCTCACTACGTCCTGCCCAGTGGGTTTTGTGTTTCGTTTTGCTTTGAACAAATTTTTATTGTGCATTAGGTGACCGTCTACATATCAGATCATCAATTCTGCCTTCCAATGCTTTAAACTAGTCATCAAAGTCCCCAATAGCTTACCCTGCCCCACCCACTCCATTGATTGCTCTTCTCGCGCTCCTGAATTATCTTCCCTTCACCCAGGTGACACCTGTCAACCATTGGCCGGTGGGCGTTGATGGAACCCTTACCTCCTTTATTCCGGGCTGCCTGTAGGTGTTCTGTGGCATCCACATTCTCCTCTTGCCTGCCCTCCGCGGGGCTAAGAGACTCTACTAGAGGTCAGATCGAATGTGAAGCGCTGTACTCTGTGGTTGGGCCTTGATAAGCACTCCATAGAGGAAGCTGTTCTGGTTCAAAGCAGTACTGCCTGAGCTTTAAGCTCACACCACCCTAGGTGAACATCCGGGCTCTTCCGTGTATAAACAGAGCGGCATTGGGCAAGCTAGCAATCCCCTTTGCGCCTCCGTTGGCTCATCTATTCAATAATCCCTACTGCATAGGGTTGCGGTGTTCACTGGAGAATATATGGAAAGCACTCTGCGGGAGCCTGGCACATTAGGCCAGCACTCAACAAACGTTAGCTATTGCCCTTTTAATGTCCTCCCGCAAGTCACTTCTTGACCCAAAGGCAACAACTTACATTCATCCCATTTCAATGTTATTGGGATGTGATGTATTAGCGCTGCTTCCCAGCTCTGAGTCATCAGCAATTCTGAGAAGCTTGCCTCTGTCGTTAGCCGAGCCATTGCTCTCCTGATTGAAGAGCATCTGACCTCAAGTAAACACCCCGAAGCTCTCCCTGCAGGTTAGCACTGGTCCATGAATCAGCGCCCTTGGGTTATGTTTTATCCAGCTCATATTTCTCCATTTCTCCGAAGTCTGCCGTCAACTGGTTTCCCAAAATGAAGATGTCGCAGTACCTCAAGCATTTCCCCCAAGGGACTGCTTTTTTTTTTTTTTTTTTTAAGGAAATAGGCTTAGTTTTACATGATTGATTCTTAATGAACACCTGCTGGCTTCTAACAATATCATCTTTTTTCCTCATGCACAAATTACCTGTCCAATTCTACCCTAAGTGATTCTGCTGTGCCCACTCCAGTTGATGGAGCTGAGATTTTCTAGAATCCGGCTTTTTTCTCGCTGCTTTGTGAAGAGGGAGAAAATGCATGTTTTCCTTTTTCTTCAGATTCTGGCACCGTGCCTGCTCTTTTTGAATCCTCATAAATTAGTTCCATTTCCAAGCGTGTGATTTTTCTCAGTCCCCCGGGTGACAGTTCATCAGAAACTGGAACCTGGGACTACTTTGGGGTGATGGATGACTACGGGACCAGGCTTCCGTCTGTCTCTGCACCTAGCCATGTTGGCGTTCTCCTTGTAGCCCAGAGCTCTCTCTTGGATGAAACAGAAGCCTTTGGAAATTGCAGGCTTTATCTGCTCTTCTTCCAGCTGAGCAGATAGCCGGTGGAAAGTGTTTTGAAAAGTCCAAAGAATTCCCTAAATGCATGCTTTGTTTTTCAAAATCACCGTGATTACGCATCAGCATGTCAAGCTGAAAACACAAGCAGGCAGCAGAAAGTCTATGGATCCAGTGCTGTGCCGAGTCTGCAGAAAACCGAGGGAGCACCCAGGCCCGCCCTCCACTTCCATGAGAACACTGGGTTTCTTTTTCTGGGTCTTCAACCCTTCCCGCTATTCGACAGGGAGCATCCTGTTGCATTTTCTGGCTGCCTCAGTTTTAGTTAGTTAGCTTTGTTCTGTGTAGTCGTTTCAACAATAACGTTGTTTGTGACCGTTTACAAAAGTGTTTCATTTCTGTCTATTTAGAAAAGATGAGGCATTGACTTGTTTGGAAAGCTGCCCCAGGCCCCACCCCTTTCTGTTTATGGATGAATTTTTTAAAAATCATGCGAAGAAGTGTTTTCGAGGTAGTTTAGGACATCTCAGTCCCTGCCATCTGGCTGCTTACAAAAGATATATAGCATGATTAAAATATATACTTTTTCTTTTTTTAAGTATATACTTTTTCAAGCATAAACCATAGATGATGCCTTTTCAACTCTAGAGCAACATCAACTTTTGCCTACGTAGAAGTGGATGCTTCTCTGTTTGGTGTGGGGTCTGTTGGCCCCTAACTGTACAGACTCCATTAAGAGCAGCTCCCAGATGGGATTAGCCAAACCACGCAGGTTGCTTTCCCCACAGCCCAGGACCCTTGGGGTTTATGGAGGCCCACCACCTGCTCTTAACACCTGCCCCCAGAAGAAAGCAAACACTGAGTGGAATATCCACAGACTGACCTAGAGCCAAGATCCAGGGAACCAGGAATAGTCATTTGTACCCAAGGGATCCCTCTCATGCCGTCAGGGCCCTGGAAACAAGGTTGGATGTAGGGACACACTGCTCTGAGAACATTCCCAAGATTCCAGAAGCGAGGCTGTCTGAGTCAGACGCTGCCCACGTGTGGAACTCAGATGGGAAGGATGGGACAGGCAGTCAGCTGTTTGTCTGATAGAAGCAGGCTCAAGATGGGGGAGAGTGAGACCTTCCTGTGTGCCAGTTATACGTCATGGGGAATGGGTCATTGATTGCCTCACTCTTCTTCCTCATGATCTTGTGAAGTGGGACCTGCTCTTAACCCTTCCTTGAGGTGAGGAAGATCATTGGTCTGAACTCTTACCGAGAATTGCAACCTGGATCTGCCTGGCTCTCACGCCCAGAGTGGCCTAGCCCTGGTTGCCAGCTTCTCTATTGTCTTATCTCCCCCTCCCCACCCCGCAGTTTTCGGGAGGACTCCAGGACCTCCTGCTCCCACAGAACCAGTTTGCCATGTTCCTGTACTGCTTCATCTTTATACACATAATCTACGTCACCAAGGAGATGGTCGTCTTTCTCTTCTCCAAGCACTACCTCTTCTGCATTGCTGCCATTTTGCTCTGTTTGATTAAAACTTTGTGGCCATACTTCCAAGTGCTGTGATTCTCTCCATTGTGGTGGTGGTGGGGGGGGGAGCCCCACCTCCTTTGCTGACACCTCCCCCTTCCTCCTTTGTGCCTCCCTCCTGTCAGCACCTGCTCTCAAGGAGGACCCCACTGTCAGCCATGTAAATGTGAGTGTGGGAAAACCAGTTGTCACGCCCCTAGGTTCTGTCTCAAATAGTATTCTCCACTCCTTTGTCGTGATTCTATCATGCAGATTGCAATGGCCACATCGAACTCACAGACACCGCTCACTATTGTAGGATTGATTAATAGGTGGCCACGAAGGTGCCCAGTCAGGCCCTGTGACAGAGTTCCCTCGGGACTGCTCATAAAAGCTCAAAGGGCACGCCACTGAACCCTGAATCAAGTGCCCAGAATGCCCCCCACCTCTCTGTAAGCCTCAGCCTGAAGGCATTCAACTCCACTTCTGGGGGTCAGCAAGCCCAGCTGCTTCAACAAAGTGCCCAGAGGCATCCCATTCCACAAGCCAGCCCTCTGCCCCAATGCACTCCGCTGGACTTGATCTGTGGGCTGGGAAATCCACCCCCTGCCTCCTGCTCTGCCTCCTGGTTCTGCTGCTGCTCCTGCTGCTCTGCTCCTCTGCAGAGGTCAAACAGTCTCTGGGGCAAGGAGATCCACTGTGCTGGGATCTCAGGGAACAGAAGACATGCTCCGCTCCTGGCTCTTGGTGGTAGTGAAAAGACCTCTTCCCCCTGCTTCTCAGAGGGCTTGTTTTGTACCCAGCAGAATC